GCGATTGTCGCGGCCATCGACCGACAAAACGGAGCCGAAGAAAAGGGGCACTGGAGCGGCTGCTACAGCCTATCCTAGCGGGCGCATGTTGATGGCTTGCGCGGGACTTTGGTTGTAGTGGACCGGTAGAGCGCTTACTCCACCCTCTCCTCCAACGACCAGTGCGTCCCAAATTACAAGGCAAAGTCGAGCGACCTGAGATTGGTCTAAGCGCAGCGGCTCATAATGTCAGACAGCCTATCGTTACATGCCATAGGCTTATTACTGCCTGCCACACTAGAGGAGGAGGAGGAGGAGGAGGAGGAGGAGGCGCGGGATCCTACATTGACTGATCCTACTCTCTTCCCATGCATCGGGGACCAGTCCGAGTCAGCTGTGCCGATTTCGAAACTCCCATAAATGAAGAATGCCATAAACACCCGAGACAAAGACAGGAGCTGGCCCAAATTTACTTGGTCACTGCGAGTCTACCCTGAAAATGGCCGGCGAGATGCAGACAAGAGTCACAGTGGTGCGTCAGAACGAAAAAAACTAGTTTTGCGCGCTGAGAAAGAGGGAGAGGAGGAGATACGGATTTAACCGACTAAAGGGACGTCTGATCGTGTATCTGCATGTGCATGTTCACTGCCAGGTGTATACTAATTATACATGAGCAGTAGGGTGCTGGTTCACTACAATACGAAAATAGACATGTAACTGGGTTCACACGACGTGCGTTCCACGTGCGGAAGTAGCAGTAAAGTCTCACGAGGGATGCAACGACCATATAAAAATCCTACATAAAAGCAACCTTCGTCAAAATGTCCTCTCCTGCAACGGTAATTTGCTGTATAACCTAGTCGCTAGACTCACATACTTCTCCGGTCGTCAGACCGCCACTTACACAGCCCTGGCCAATAAGATTAGAGATCTGAAGCCGTCCAGTTGACCACTGGGCCTGACGCTCTACCTGCTGAACTACATCATCCTGCCTCCGGCTGTAAGCAGGAATACGCAGTCACATGAGGATGGCGTTCACCAGTCTACTCTGATTGCAGGACTGAATACGAGGATTCAGCGTCGCCTTGTAGCTCCATTCTAGGTGATTTATATCGTGACTACAAATCGTCTCGAATCACTCTTGCTGTTGAAATGTTGTGCGAGCTGGAACCGAGGGACAGACCGTACGCAACCCTTCTTCATTACACTCCACATGCATGCCGCCCTTGAAGTTAGTTATTAGTGGTAGTGGTGGTGGCGTGAAGACAATGAGTCACTTCTGCGGCTCCGCATGGTCTAACAGTTCGCCTGCAGGACAAAGCACCGCACTGCTCGGTATCTTACCGTGGCTAGAGGTCGAGTGACCATCTTGCTGAGAAACGGTTCAGCCCTCCGAATGACCACGAAATTTAAGACCAGCTAAGGTTGAGAAAGAGCGTCTATGATGACGTACCGCGACAATGATTATAGCGTACAGGAATGCGCATTCAAAGCTAGGTAGATGCATGAGGCATGTAACCAGGTTTCGTGTACCCAGGCGTGCTCTGTAGTTGGTTGCATTAAGAAGGTCGTCGGGAAGGGTGCAGTCAGTTTTTCCCTCGTCTAACTTAAGCTTCCTCAGAAGAAACACTTTGGTCTCCTGGAGTGAGCAGGTGCTATTCTTCTTCATCCCGTTCTGTCCGTCATGCACCGACCCGAATTCGAAGTCTCAGTGGATCATGCGGCTCCCTGGGAGATCTTATAAGCACATTAGACACAATCGAAGCTGGAGGCGCGCTCCTGTCGTTATTTTAGCGTCTATCGGAAATTTAAAAGGCTGCCAAGTTGGAATAAACGGGGGGACTCTTTTGATGGCAAGGATATTTCCGCGGAGGGCAATACAACTTCCTTACGAGAAGGATGACTTCAGCCACTACACGAAAGTACTACCCCACTCCCACCACGCAACTGTAATAAGCGTCTAAAATCACGCATGCCTTTATACACTCTTCTAACCTGCTTTCATATATAAAATATTATTAGAGTAGACATGTAGTAGCGATTAGCATGAGGTTGTGATGATAATAGCAAACCAGCTCATGAGTTGCATCATGCTAGTTGTCATTTGAGAGGCATTTGGGGTACGCAGCGAAATCCACGTCGAGAATAAAATTTTATCTGACTTTTTAGGTAGGTATAGATCTACTGTTTCAACCACTCTGTATCCGCCACGAGCAACAGCTACAACAGCAATGCAACTCCAATCTAATCCTAATTTCGGCAAGCACTCAGGGCAGATGGAAATGCATTTAAACACCTCTGCGTCGCCTTTTCCACTAAGAGCCTTCATTCATCTACCACACCTCAAATTTGGTGAGGACGGCTTTCGTCGACTAAGACAAGTGAAGTGCTTAGGGTGGAAACCTCCCGGCTCTTGCAAAATATAGTAGCATACGGGGGTCGTGTGTACTTTTTAAGCAGCGATAAGAGACTTGTCAGTGGAACTTATCCTTCCGTTCTTCTACAAAAAACGCTACTCAGCGTTACACCAGTCACATGAACGCACTCTGAGGACCCGTTAGAGTTTCTTGTCATCGTTTTTTGCCGTAAGTATAGTTCGCCTGAGGCAGCTTTGACCATTATTAAGCGCCTATCAGATATTTATTCAGACTGTGCCTGACGAAGACGCTACTAAATTCCCCAGCGCACTAACGAGATACAGCAGGTGAGACTTGAAGAAAATGGACAGATGTCATACACTGAACTGAAAGGTCGCGTACACATAGATTCATTTTACTCGAAAAGTAGCAAATAATAGCAGCCCTCATTGAGTGAATAAAAGGCATCGTAGGAAACAAGTGAAATTGTCGACAGAAAGGAGGTAGAGGAGGGGGAAGGCGTGATTGTTTGACGAAATTGCCAGAGAACATTTACTGTACACTAAAGCTATCGACAGGAAATGGGGAAAAAGACATTGCGAATGGAGAGGGCGGGAAGCGGGGCCACATTTCTGCTCACTCAGAGAAAGACCAGGGGAACGGGGACGGGAATTCGGTTTCATCTGGAGTGACGAGACGCAAGAGCCACAGCTGTTATAGCGCCTATCACACCCAACGCAGCTCCACCGATTAGGGCCAGACCAGTGAGACCATCTGGACAAGACAAACAAAACGGGATATGCCGAGGGTTCATATAGTGGTTTTGATGCTTAATCGGTCAAACGGGACAGTTTTCAATGATTGCAGTCTCACTCCCAGAAGAACAATTTCGGCGCTCAAAGCTCGAGGGAAATATTAAGTCCATTTAAGACAAATGAAGGCAGAGTATCAGTGCGAATTGCTAGGTCAAACAGTAGAACACAGCGACCAATACACAGCCCAAAGGCATTCGAACATACGAACTCCCGAGCGCGCGCCAACCGCCTCATTTGCTGATCTTTTTAGAACAAGCACCTGCATCGAGACGGGTCCCTAATTCAATGATTACCAACCAGCGATCGCATATAATGGCGCCTTCCGCCTTTGAAAAAATGGGTCCGTCCCGATATATTCGACACCCTTTAGGTCAAGTCCGGAAACCGGACAAGCGTGGAAAGTTCACTCCACTTGTTGGCGAAACCTCGAAGTTTTCAATTAGGTGAAAGTTGTCAACTCTGTGGCGTTGTACTATGACTTAAGACAATGAAGGCTAATCTGTAAATGTGTCATTACTAAGATGATTGCCAACTCGGGTGTCAATGACTCAACTCCAGACTTCTGGCGTATTCTCTCGATTAAACTCGTAGAGGTCTAGAAACAAGACGTCTATAAGCATGGGCCCTTCAGCAGTCAGTGTCTAATGCCACAATCCGCAACCAAAGCAACTCAGCTGTTGATAAATGTAGAGGTCGTGGGAACCAAAAAACTGTGGAAAAGCCCGAAAGCCGTGGCGGTACATAATGACGGACACTATGTCCATTGTACTTGTACTTGTACTTGATACGGCTGCGATCATGCCTGACCTAGCCGGCGTCGATTATGTCCCGAACTGTACCTCTCCACGCGTGACGATCCGCAGCAGCAGACCTGGACAGCTCAACCCATTCCCTTCGCCAACGACGGAGACCGAATACCGAAGGTCCAAAAACCACCTCCATGTCTTGACTGTGTCGAGCCAGGTTTTGAACTGACCCTCTCTTCGACGCCTCCAATGGGGCAACGGTGCCGGATCGAGGGCAGTAACACTGAGCTCCTGAGGTGGACGACGAAGAGCATGCCCGAACCACCTCAGTGGTCTTTCTTGGATGGCCTGAGTTATCCTTGCGATGTCGTCGCAGCGAGCGCGGACTGTCTCATTTGAGACGAAGTCGGTGTAGTTCACCTGAGGGATGGCCACCATGCAGTGGTTGTCAAATACCTCCAGTTTTCGCTCGTCCTCCACGCGCAAAGCCCAGCATTCACAAGCATAGAGAAGGGCAGACCGGACAGACGCACGGTACGCGCAAATCTTTGTGGCGATGGAGAGGTCACGTAGGTTCCACAGGCATTTCCGAAGGCTTGAAAAAACCCAGCGGGCAGCATCGATTCGGGAGACAATGTCGTCCTTACTCTGTCCATTGGGCAGCAGCCTCGCCCCAAGGTATTTAAAACTGTCTACTTCTTCAAGTTGACAGCCAATGGCTGTCAACTATGTCCACTGCGGTCCTACAATTATGTACCAACAGCGAGCACGTACACAGAGCCAATCGCAGTGATTAAACTGAACTCCTAGGACGAGTTTTACCTTTCAGAGGGTCAAGGAACGTGGGATAGACACTAGTGACGATGCCCGGGATAAATCAGACGTCTGCGGCGAACCAGGTAAAAGAAACAAGTATTCTTCAGAGGTCAACGAAACTGCAAGATCTTAACGAGGACAAGCCTCGATTATTGAAAAAAATACTCAAGCTGTTCTGAAATAGCTCTGACCAAGTCATTTCGGACAAAACGCACTCTGGCCGTGGAGTGCGCCTGTCGTAAAATACAGAGCTCTAGGTCATGCCCTCCACTTTCGCCTTCATTTTAGACGACTTCGGTGACCAGGGCCAGTTTAACAAGCTAAAAAACAACCGCTTCGTACAGAAACAAGATTTGCAAGATAAATAGTTAAACACGAGGCGGTATTTGCCAAAAGCAGACACTAAACATCAGTTTTTGGAAACAAGCCTTGAGTGAACAAATAGGTAGGCTAACGAAGTAACGTACGGTAATGGATGCACACAGATAAAAAGCGGAGTTTACTGAACGCGGAATAAAAATTCCAGTCTTAACAGAAAACGGCTTTAAAAAGCGTCATATCACTGCTAGCACCCGTCTGCTAGGCGCCGACAAAACGCACCGGCAGGAACAATCCCCCAAAAAATTGCAAGGTCAGTAACCAAAACTCCCTCTAAAATTCCTGAACGTAAGTACTGAAGAGATGTGCGGCCGCGAAAGAGTATTCATCGCTAAACGTACCAATGGAAAGCTTTGTTTGCGACAAAAAGGTGCATTGAAATCCAAATAACCTACCGCGTCTGGTACGCCGCTCAATCTCTTCCTTCAGTTCCACGGCTTGGTGATCCTCCGGGTTGACTTCAATCAGGCTTTTGCAACATTGGAGAGCTTTCTCGTAGTCCTTTACAAGATTTTGGAGGCACGAACACATGACTTACACAAAGTTTTGTGTGAGCAATGGCGATTAAATATAAGCACTCCCTACGCCTATCCGGTCTTGAACTGCGTTTAAAACCACCTTTGAATTAAGAAAACGAAGGGATACTTTCGAGCAGACTGATAGCTGTGAGAAGAGCTTCCTTGGATTTTGTTTTAAGGAGCTCGAGGGCGTACATAAATTGGGTATCATAGTTCTCAATTCCTGACTCTTTTTCGGAGACATACATCGCCCTTGCTTCCTAAGTTACATATTTAGAATCAAAAACGTGCGCACCTGGGCACAGGAAACATTTTCAGACATATTAAGGAGGTCCATGGCGAAGGGTCCTGATATAAGCTAAAACAAAGGTCGCGGCAAAACACAAACTATCTTATAAATATCACTGTAGCGCAGACAATCTCGATAAGTAAAGGTCAAGAGGGATAACTGTCGAACGAAGGAAGACTGTAGGTTCTTGAGATGTAATGCGTCTTTCCAAAAGCTCTGCAAAGATAGTAAATGCAAGTCAAACTTTTGTGTGCAAATCAGTCATGTGGGCAGTAGAGGGCTGGGGGACCACGGCCTGCCAGGGGAAACTCCGTTATCGTAAGACCGATAGGATTTAAAAAGGAATTAATGTGTGCAGTTTGCGAGGCAAACGCATAACACAGCATTACAGAAAACTCATATGTTCACAAACATGCAGGAAAAAAGCAGCATTCAACACTTTTGAATCAGCTTCTCGAAGGAAAAACTGCTAAAATAGCCGGGACACAGGACTTTGTGGCAGATTCAAAAGATATCGGAAGTTTATGTCACTGTTATGCAGCTATTAACAGGGTCTTGTGTAAATTAAGAATGTGGCGGGTGACGAGCTTGACCAGGATGCTGAATAATGCGAGACAACGTGCGTAACCAGTGCAAGAAGTTGTCAAATTTATTGAAAGAACAAGTAAAAAGGCACGAACAATGGTCGAATGGTTAGATAAAATCGCTCTGACTTTGCATTTTGCAGTGGAAAACATAGTGACGCTTGGAAACCACTCGGATTTTAAATTTCATCTGTACGTACTCCTCAGTTTAGTTTATTGAAGGAAATGGTTGTGGGCATATGAGTATCTCATTTTCAACGTAAGCTTGGGTGCTGTCCACAGGATAACCAGGTTAGCTAAAATAATGCAAACGGGCCCATAATAGTATGACAAACTGGGAAGATATTGAAAATGTGCAAAGACATTTTACTAGAGGATTCTTAGGCACGGAACGTCCAAATAACTCCTACTCAGATAGATGCCAGATAACTAACCTAAAATTTGTATGGGTTCGAAACCTAGAAGCAGGTATACTTTCCTCTGGAATAACTTTCCAATAAATATAAGATCTTTAGATAATCTGCGCACCTTTAAGAGGAGGCTCAGCCTTTATCTGAAAACTGACTCGATTAAGCTTTTATTTTCCTCATCCTTCCCGGACAGCTTTCTCCATGACACCGAGACTGGACCACCGGGAATTTAGAACGTCGCCATTAAATTTCCGTATCCGCTCCCATTTCCTTCTTTTGTGTGTATTTTCGCTTCCTGGGATCCCTCATCAAGAATGTCCATTTTTTCGGCTCATGCGCCCTGCCTCTCACAGAATGCGATATCGTTTCTGACAAATTCTCTCAAACAAATAACTTGGCCAGGTTGACATGCATGCTATAAGCCACCTCGGTTTCGCCGATCACCGACACTCATGAGAGTTACACTCTGGCATCCAAGATTTCGAACCCTCACCCCATCGTTGAATTTTGCGGCTTCTGAGGTCATCCTTTTCATTTAGACCCCAAGCGGTCGCTTTTGGCGGAACCTTCTCTATTCGCCATCTGCTTGTATTTTGGTCGCATCTTTCTCTCCCCCTTCTCGGCTGGACTCGAAGCGAACTTTGACCGATCGCGTCTGGGTTCCCGTCGTTTCGCCACTTTGGCGTGGATGGCCTCATCCGGCATATGAGTTCTGCCTTGATGATGTCCGCTTCGAACCTTTTACTCAATTCCGCATGCAGGCCAGTCCTGTCTGACCTGCATACTTACCCCTTCATGAAATCCGTTATCCACTGCCACAGGAAGGCCGGTCCTGCCCGCTTATCTTCCTTTCATGAGCGACAGTCTTTTCTCCTATAATTTTAATCCAGTCATATTCATTTGTGTATATGTTAGGATTTTTTTAACTGCTTGCTCATCATTCTTCGTAACAGACTACTTTTTCGATAACTACAAATTGAGTATTCTGCAGATTTTGCCTGCCTGTTCTTAAATTCATGTAAAAGTTTATTCTTGCTTGTTATGAACTGACGCCCACGGGTCTCGAACAACAATAATAATAATAATAATAATAATAATAATAATAATAAATATTATTACTATTATTGGAATCTCGGCGTTTTAATTCACAGCAACATGAAATCAGCACTGTAGTGCACCAAAACGACAAGAAACCTCATGGGAGTTCTCGATGCGATCAGAAATACTTTTTTAACCTTTGAAAAGGAACTTTTGGGGAGAGTGTGCGGCAGCTTTGTTCGGCCTCATTAGGAATATGGCATGTAAGCGTGGCTGCCATGACCAACAAAAGACCAAACGTGCCTCTAAAAGTACAGCGTCGTGCAACAAAGCTGGTGAAGGGTTCAAAAAACCAATTATACACAGAAAGACTGGACTGCCTTTATTTATTCCCTCTGTGTTGCAGGCAGCAAAGGAGTTATCTTTCCCAGAACGTCTGTCTTTCAAAACAATGCCACTTAAACCATGTAAGTGCTATTTTAATAGCGACAATCTCCATTGACCGTGTACAGTTTTATCTGGCGAATTTGCAAATACTAATAGGATTTTCAAAGGCCTTGACTCTAATCCTTACCATATAAACCAAACAAACTAAAAATTCCAATAGAAGTTATTGGCATTTCAGCCGTTCCCCTGGAGAATATCCCGGTTAAATAAAACCAGTGTAAGTGAGTTCCTAAGGTTTGCGTTTTGAACAAGATCAACTTCATTCGATCAACTTCATTTGGCGGTCCCACAAATCTTTATTATGTCTTTCTAATGAATTTGCTGTAAGAGGACGAGGATGATTTACAGAGTCCTCGGTTTGATTCAAACTTCTGATGTTGACTAACTGTCCCGAGTAACTCATCGGGACTCATTTCGACTTCAGGCTCCTTCTATAACGTTTTATCATCTTCCCTGCCCACGAGTTCCTGCCTTTGCGTTCAAATATGTGCTCTTTAGAACATTCGGCGTGGTTGCGAGAGCAGTAGGGCAACGATAGATTGGCAAAAGGGAACTCCCGTCATTTGCAGTAAGAAGAGCAAGCGAGATGGCCTCGAAGACGTAATATCTTGTGCTGTTGCCTAGGTCGTCTTGAGTGGCGATCAGGTCTGCCTGTACCACCCTGTTGTTACTGATGCCCGCGGGAGTGCTTACTGAGTTGCTACACCTGTTTTGAAATACTCCAAAATAATTATTTTTTTCGTACTTCTTGCGTTTAAATCTCCGCTTGTGACTTCTCTTTCCGATCATTAAGTTTCTGCTACATGAGCATCCTTAAGTCAGCAAGCTCGTTTTCAAGTTGTCTTATTTTGTTTAAGATATATGTGCATTCTTGTACCTCACACGTTTCATAGCAATTACGCTTTTGGCGCGCTCCGTCGGTCCTTGGCTGGGAACACAAATTCAGCGAGCGCAGATCCTGGATTTGAAGGCCATAACGAGTTTTCGGCGCTGGTCGTACTACTAGTTACGTTACTGAATCCCCGCAAACTTAAGGTTGAGGGGGTAGGTATATTTTCACTTTCGAGGTTATAAGGACACTTCGGATAGTGTATGAGGAATTAAAATGAGTATTTAAAATTCAGTGAGAGAAAAAATGCTTAGGATTCGAAAAATCACACAAAATTTACTCAGAAACGACTCAGCCTCTTGCATGTCTGAAAGAGCTTGAATAACTTCGGATCTTGGAGGATTTTAAACGCCTCATTTTCCAGGCTGTAATTAACGGCGAGTTGGCTGCGTAGTCAGTTTAACTGTGCTGGTAAATAGATTGTGCTTGATGAAGAAGGAGACGATCACTGAAACAAGAGCTTTATTCGCCTTACTTTTCGGGTCCCTGCTCGAACTAATGATCAGGGGCAAAAGCTTCACACACTTTTTCATATTAGAATTTAGGAACCACCTCTTTAACAACATTTGTAGTCCGTGCAAATTAATTTCAAGTCTTTCTGGTTATTCGGGTCCTCGATGTCTTGCCAGAGTTTGAGGTCATCAGCAAACATAGTCTTACAGCATCTGAGTTTCTAAAGATTGTTATTAATATAAACAATGAAGAGTGAGTCTCCAGAGTCGAACCTTGAGAAACCCTACTAGCCGCGTTCGTCCAACTTGTTTTATCTTATCGGGTAGGGGTTGTTTATTTCAATCAATCATTAATATATATATGCAGTTCAGAATCTGCCCCTTAGGGCTGAAGATGCAAAATTTATGCAGGTCGCGGTGATGTGGGACACCATCGATGGCTTTGCAAAAAGTAGATCTACACTACAACTACTTCTAAGCCCTCTTCCAAAGTACTGGTTCAGACCTCCAGCAAAACAAGCAGATATGAGGGGCGGGGGTGTCCTGGGCGAAAACCATGCTAAAAACTCTGTAAAATGTCATTTTCATCACAAAATTGTATTGTGGCTCGCTTAACGAGGACTTCAATCGCTTCACAAGAAGGACAGGTTACATTTATGGGTCTAAAGTTGCTTGCTTCGATCCTGCTACCACCCATATACAATGGAACTAGGTAAGCTTTCTTCCACTATGTAGATAATCCCCCTGTTTATACTGGCAAGTCACATAGAGGTATTTCCAACTTTTTCGTTAATTCCTTAGGCATCAGACCAGAAAACCCATTCGGGTCCATGATACTTGTATGACTAAGGTTGACTGAGAACCCGTCTTACTTGTTCAGTAGTAGTTGTAACAGAGTCAATGTCGGTACTATCGTCTATCGTTTCAAACTTCGGTTGTCTCTGTCGCGTTCGACCGTAAACACTGACCGAAAAAAGCTGGGATAGTATTCGTATTTTTTGCGGTCCACCGAAAAATGCGTTTCTGATGCTGTCCTTAGGACACGGCATCTTGTCCCCGTTCTTCCTCCTAATTCGGATGCACCCATCAGGCCCTTTGGAACAAATAATAATAGGCTTATGATAACACCTCTTGGGCACTGTCAGTCTCCCTTGAACAAACAGCGCCCTCTGCTGTCCATCGACACTTGAATGGGGTTCCGGCGGTACGAGGGTAATACGCAGGCAAAATCATTATGGCTGGTAGGGATTACTTGTATGGCCGCCTAGTGTAAAAGGCAAACAAGATCTCCTCTAATACGACGATGGTGGTAATAGGAGTTTGCATGGGCGGGGCCTTATGAATAACAAAAAATCCGTATGAAACCCTCAGAAAACGCATAAAATCACACGTTCACCGAGGTTTGTTTTAGCAAACAAATGGTCTAAGTGGATGAGCCCGCTAGAGATATAATAAATCGAGTATTTCAAGGCTTTAAGAATGAAATCGAGGAAACTGAACTGAAGACAACAGTAGCCAATCATAACGCTAAGAAATGACTAGAGTGGACGTTCTGGTCGAGACGGAACATAATCTGCAAAATATTCGATTAGTTGGTGATATAAACAGTACTCTCGAGAAAGTTATTGAGCAGATGTTTAAAGTTGTCCAGGTAATGAGCTATGAAAGTGGGGAAGGGGTAAAACGGGACAATACATTAATTTTCACAGTTTTGTTCCCTTTAATATTAAACGCAATTTGGTCCAGGGATTGGCAACTAGAGTGCGACGCATCTGCTCTCCTGAGACTGTGGAGGCAGAACTCCAGCATCTGCGGGATACACTCCACGAAAACGGATACCCAGAAAGATTTATCCTTCGAAATATAGGGGAGCGCACTGCAAAGCCTACCATGGCGACTGCAGAAAAGAAGGACTTATTTATAAGACTGCCTTTTCAAGGGGACGCAGCAAGTGACCAAGTAAGAAGAGGTCTGAAGACAGCGGATCACTAGCGCTTCCCCGCTGCGAACTTACGTGTATGTTTCACTAACTCTCCCCTCCTACGCTTAGGAGGTGAAAACCGACTCCCGTTGCAGGCCACATCGATGTGTATTTACTCATTCACTTGCTCCTGTGGAGCGGGATACATTGGCCTTACAACGAGGCGCCTGGAAAAGGGAGTACGTGAACACATACCGGCCTGGCTAGGCAAAGGTGAAAAGAAATCGATCTCGAGTTCTATTCTCGCACATCTTGTCGATGCTAATCATCGAGTCGATGCCAAAGAAGCCTTTCAGGTTGTCTACCGGACACCAGCAAGCTTCTCCAGAGGCCTACGCCAACGGGTTCTAGCTACAGCCGAGGCAGTAGCTATACGGCTAGCCAGTCCAGTGCTATGCTGTCAGAAGACTGTGACACAGGCGCTCTGTCTTCCGTGGTCAACGCCGACCCCAACGTCGCCCCAAACTCCTGATGGCAGGGTGTGTGCACAACGTACCCGACGTACTCACAGCCTATGTACCCCTCTTCCTCGCCCCCTTGACCCAATGACCACGACATGCCGACCGCGCCATAGCACGCCTCGTCATGCGAGTGGCGTGGGAACGATGGATGTTACTTGTCCCTGAATCACTTATAAACTGTGAAACTTCGCATAACTTAAACTTCTATGTAACCGTTTTGGCCTGATGAAAAATTACCGAAAACACGTGTTTGCCAAATTGACTTTTCAAGATCATATTTCGTAGCCGCTCCTGTTAGGATTATGGGCTAGGAGATATGGTTAGAGGTTAGTGTTAAACCCTCTATTACCACCGGCCCCGTATGACATGCCGCTGGCGCTGGCCTACTTTAGATCCGACCTAATTCTCTATAACAAAAATACTTGCGGCCATGTTTTGCATAAAATGTGTGTGAATTTATAGGGGCATCGAAAATAAAATGAAAAACAATTCATGCTACACAAGTAGCCATGTTCTGCAGAGTGTAGGCGGTCAGGAAGAAGCTCATGGAAAAGCCAACCGGTTCGACGACAACGATGCCACCATCAGCAATCTGCTCGCCGAGAAGAACCGCCTACACAAACCTACGTAGACCACCTCACTGACGACAACAAAGCTGTCTTATACCGCAGTCGCCGCCACCTTCAGCAACGACTGCTCGCAAAGCTGAGGAGATCCAAGTGTACGCGGACCGCAACGAATGGAAGAACTTCTTTTCCGCGATCAAAGCTGTCTACGGTCCGCCGACGAAGGGCACTGTTCCTCTCCTCAGCGCCGACGGCATTACCCTCCTGACTGAGAAAACACAAATTCTACAGAGATGGGCCGAGCATTTCCGAGGCGTCCTCAACCGCCCCTCCGCCATATCCGACGCCGCCATCGACCGTTTGTCTCAAGTAGAGACCAACGTGGACCTCGACCTCTCGCCATCTCTTCAGGAAACCATCAGGGCCGTGCAGCAGCTCTCCAGCGGGAAAGCACCCGGATCGGACGCAATCCCTGCTGAGATCTACAAGCACGGAGGTCCCCAACTGATGGATCACCTGATTGCGCCCATCCAGGAGATGTGGCGCCAAGGTGAAGTCCCGCAAGATTTCAAAGAAGCAACCATCGTGCATCTCTACAAGCGAAAAGGGAACCGCCAAGTCTGCGACAATCACCGTGGAATCTCCTTGCTGAACATCGCCGGGAAGATCTTTGCCCGCATCCTCCTCAACCGCCTGAATAATCATCAAGAACAGGCTTTTCTACCGGAAAGCCAATGCGGCTTCCGTCGTCTTCGCGGGACCATGAATATGATGTTCGCTGCCCGTCAACTTTAGAAGAAGTGCCAGGAGATGCGGATCCGCCTATACTCTACCTTCGCGGATCTGACGAATGCTTCCGTCAAGGTGAATCGTGAAGGACTGTGGAAGATTATGCAGAAATTCGGCTGTCCGGTGCGATTCATTCAGGTGGTGCGTCAGCTGCACGACGGTATGATGGCGCGAGTCACGGACAACGGAGCTGTCCCAGAGGCATTCGCAGTGACCATCGGAGTGAAGCAGGGATGCGTGCTGACGCCTACCCTCTTCAGTCTTATGTTCACTGCCATGCTGATGGAAGCCCACCGTGATGAACGCCCCAGGATCCGCGTTGCCTACAGGACGGACGGTCACCTCCTGAATCAACGGCGGATGCACTTCCAGTCGTGCGTATCCACAACCACCGTCTACGAACTTCTCTTCGCCGACGACTGCGCCCTGAACAGCATCTCGGAAGAGGAGATGCAACGCAGCATGGACCTATTATCCGCCGCCTGCGAGAACTTTAGGCTGGTTATCAACACGCAGAAGACGGTGGTGATGCATCAACCGCCACCCTACTCAGCCACACCCCCAACGCGCCGCAAATCAGCGTGAACGGAACCCAACTGCAAGTGGTGGAGAACTTCCCGTAGCTGGGCAGTACTCGCTCCCGCAACACCAAGATCGACGACGAAGTCGCCAACAGGATCTCGAAAGCCAGTCAAGCCTTCGGCCGCCTCCAAAGGACAGTCTGGAATCGTCACGGTCTCCAACTGAGCACGAAGCTGAAGATGTACAAGGCTATCATCCTGCCGACGCTGCTGTACGGAGCGGAGACTTGGACAGTATTCACAAAGCAGGCACGTCGACTGAACCACTTTCACCTCAGTTGTCTCCGTCACATCCTGAGGCTGAACTGGCAGGATCGCATCCTCGACACTGATGTGCTGGAACGGACGGAAATCCTCAGCATCTACGCCATGCTGAGACAAATGCAGCTGCGCTGGAGCGGCCACCTGGTGCGCATGGACGATGAGCGACTACCCAAACGACTCTTCTACGGAGACGTCGCGACGGGCTCTCGTCGTCAAGGAGGCCAAATTCGTCGATACAAGGATACTCTGAAGTCCTCCCTGAAGCATCTGCAAATTAACCCGACCAACTAGGAAGAGCTCGCCCTCGACCGACCGACCTGGAGGAGGAAAGTGAAGACAGGCGCTGCGATCTATAAGGCCAACCGAATCGCCTCTGCCAAAGTGAAACGCGAAGCCCGCAAATCACAGCTACGTCCCGTCCGCAACGCCGACGCAAAACCGCTTCAAACGTGTCCTCGGTTTCAACGGACATTCCGGGCACGAACTGGACTCATTGGACATCTTCGGACCAACTGCACCTCCCATACCGCACCAACCGTCGTCCCTCCGCCAGCCTCTGCCTCGTCCTCTCCGCCGCCAACTGACTCTGACAATTCTTCTGAACCACCACTTCCGTCCTCCTCCTCCTCCTTCTCCTCCTCCTCCTCCTCCTCCTCCTCCTCCTCCTCCGCCTCTAGTGTGGCAGGCAGTAATAAGCCTATGGCATGTAACGATAGGCTGTCTAACATTATGAGCCACTGCGCTTAGACCCATCTCAGGTCGCTCGACTTTGCCTTGTAATTTGGGACGCACTGGTCGCTGGAGGAGAGGGTGGAGTAAGCGCTCTACCGGTCCACTACAACCAAAGTCCCGCGCAAGCCGTCAACATGCGCCCGCTGGGATTGTCTGTAGCAGCCGCTCTAGTGCCCCTTTTCTCTCCAGCTTCGTTTTGTCGGTCGATGGCCGCGACAATCGTTGACAGGCCGTTGACACACGACCACCCCCGCCAGCTAGAACTGGGGTCCCTGCTGTCCAGCTGCACTGACTCCCGGCTGCCCGCACAAACTATTATCACCTCACGCGCGCGTCGGACGACCTGACTTGATAGCCGTGAGCCCCTGTGATTATGCGTCCCCCTAATCCGTCCAATCTCATCACCAGCACTCAGCCAGTCACTCCTACCTACTGACATAGACATTCACCCCCGCGTAAACTACACACCACGACTGACGCTCTCCGTAAACGGACGCTTATCTCTGTTGCAAGCCAACAGCCAACTTACGGCAGCCTGCCCTGTGTACAGAATAAACTAGTCCTCACAGCTCCCTGACTTCTGACACTAGACGAAACGAAATTATTGTGCGTGGTTTAAGTTGATCTCACATCCTTGACCGCCACAAATCGGGGTCACGTCGGGGTCACCAGTTCTAGCCGGCGGGGGTGGTCGTGTGTCAACGGCCTGTCAACGATTGTCGCGGCCATTGACTGACAAAACGGAGCTGGAGAGAAAAGGGGCACTAGAGCGGCTGCTACAAATCAGACGAACTGTATTATCCCAGGCTGCCATCTGACCGGATAACTCGGGCCTCGTCGTTTGAACTGCGTGTCTATGTGGTCTGACTGGCTTGAGGACCGGGAGTCAGGCCCAACTGCTTCTTCTTAACGTAGCCGCAATGCCATTCTCACGAATGTGACATCCGAGCTGTCCTCTATCTTGTACACTGTGTGGAGACCAGGTCGTGTGTGTGGCACACGTAGACGGGCTTTACAGGTTCTTCAACCACGCGTCCGCGCCCACCTCCGATCGTCTCGGCATTGTCTTGCCATCGATGCTTGATGAGTAGGGGAGGGAGAGAGAAATTGTGACGGGATGCTACGCAAGTCTGTCTCACCATAAACTGACTCGCGCACCAGTCACCGGTACTATGCCCACTCCGGGCGACACACGGTGGACTTGGTCGCTCGCGTCGGTCGAACTCTCAAATCACCGGTTCACTTCACTACGAACAAATTCCCGCACAAGTCACCAACCTGCCCAGACTGGGGTGGCCAGACAAAATGTCATGCCCCAGGTTTGAGGGGTGCAGGCCTCGTGCTGGGGAACTAATTTGGTTTACTGATGATAAAGCAGAGATGAACCATTTTCTTCTTTTTTTCCTTCTGTCATCTACTGACTGATGTTGCTTGATAAGACGTCGTGTAAAATATTAAAAGCTCCCTAGCGCTCCCGTAGCGTGGGTATTTTTTTGCAAGCAGGTACAGAAGTTGTCTAAGGGACATACAGTGCAATGTTGGCTGAAATTTTGAAAAGCGTTTTCGATTAAGAGAGATTACATAGGCGCGGTTGTAATACTCATTATCTCGCGGCATGATCCTATGATATTTCAGACTCGGCAGGATATCAGCTTTTGAATACACTGCTTTTCAAACCCCTGTAGAAACCGTACTCGGCAAACAAATGACTACTTAAGTAGAGACTCACGTCATCTTTATATTTTATACTCAAAGAAAGGGTATATTTAGATTTTGAAAAAGTTTCCCAATTTCCGAATAATTTTGGGTCTGATCAGCCGTTGCATCGCATGGGCCTATTCGGCCACATGAGCATCCACGAGAGCGGAATTGACTGCTCTCCCGACTCACCCACCACGCCAAACCCCATCCCCACTTCATCCCCCTTCGCGCCCATCACCGTTATCGCAGCTAACACCGACACCACCGACTTCGCCTGCCAACACTGCCCACGCACATTCACCTCTCGCCTCGGCTTGGTCGGTCGCTTCCGAATTCATAGAACGGAGACTGGCGAACCAGTGCCTGGAGCACCAACCTATACCCACCAAGCTCGCCTCCACTGCCCACACTGCCCTCGCACTTTAACGCATCGCATGGGCCTACTCGGCCACATGCGCATCCACGACGACCTGCGGTAGACAACCGTCGGCTACACCACACCATAACACCCTCCCTCCCTGCCTCCACCACCACCACCACCACCACCACCACCACCACCACCACCACCACCAACACCACCACCACCACACATCAACACTCACACACCGCAAGCACCCAACTGTCACCTCCCACGCAAGTGGGAAGTGTACATCTCGACTCGATCCCCATGCGGCTTCGGCTGCACGGGTGACTTGAGTCCGAGACTATCCCGACACGTCAAGCGTCGTGGATAGGAAGGTTGCTGATTGACGCCCCCACTCGGTCCACGCAGTTCGTCCCGTTGTGTGTGTGTTGTGTGAAGTGGCGGACTGGTGGGCTGAGGACAGGCTGAAACAGCACCTACCATGGCTGTCTCACGCAAGTGAGAGACACGCCGTTCAACCCCCGTTGTGCGAAATCCTGGTGTATGTGTGTATGGGAGGTCAGGTCGTGCACGTGGCGCGCAGTCATGGTCAGTCGACCATGTCAGCCACCGCGCCCATTTCCCACTCCAGTCTGCTGACCGGCTCGGACAGCGGCTGGGGTGTGGGAATGGGAAGGGAGAGTGAGGTCGACGACTCAGCGCATTTTTCTCACTATAAACAATCTGACGCGCTTGAAGCTATCACGGTGCGCTAAAAGTCGTGGCTTGGAAGGTTGCCAACTGACGGGATAACTTGGACTTCCTCCTCGACTGATGGGGGTCTGAGAGTCAGGCTGCAATGGCTCCTTCTTAATGTGGCCTTTATGGCATTCCCACTGTGTGGGATCCGAGCCAGGCGTTGGCGGCACGCCTAGGTGCGGCTTCGGCCGTGCCAGCCTTCAATCTCGGTTGTGGTGGTTGAAATCCTGGTTATTTGTTGTGTGGACCAGGGGGTGTGGTGGAACGCCAAGGTGAGGATCCGTCCGAGCCATCCACCTGCGGCCTCCCTCGTCTCCGGTCTTCTTGACTCTGTCTTAACACCGGGCCCAGGCGGGGGAGGAGGAGAGAGTGTAGGTAGATGCAGCGCAAGTCTACTGGCACTATAAACCCCTGCGCAAGTCACCATCCCTGCTCCCACCGCTGCTGCTGTGGGGCACACGGTGGACATCATCGAAATCGATGGTCGAACTGTCATGTCACTTGAGTAATCTTTTATATTCAGAAGAAAAGGTGGCGAGTGAAGGTTGCTTTCGATAACTTCTCGTCAGGCCAGTACAGTTATATGGGACGGGGTACAGTGAGTGAAGAAATCGATAAAAGTTATTTTTTAAAATACAGGCTAGGCAAGAAAGGAAAGGGGTAGAAAGTTGTATGTGGTTAGTCAACCTTTGACCACAGTAAGCGCGGAGCCTGAACGTGGTTCTTCTGTGCGCATAAGATTGGCCTTCGTAACCTGATGGCGGCCGCTTCTGCTGTTGCTAATAGGCGCTGGCCCAGTAGCTTAGGGTAGCACGAGGGGACCTTATAAATCACACGAAATGCTTCAACGGGGTCCACACGATGCCCTGAATCCACTGCATGCGCAAGGATGACGCTGTCTGTTCACTTAGTTTCACCTTTTGCCAGTCATGCGGGGAGGTGCTCTCGTATTCTTTTGGGAAGGCAGCGACTCGCACGACCAATATAACCTGCTCCACAGGAGCAAGTGAATGAGTAGATGCACATTGAGGCGGTCTGAGGTGGCAGCCTATCATTGCCTTCTCCGCGCAAAATAAGGCTAGTAGAGAATGATAAGCGAACCCTTGCTGCTGGAAGGGTTCCCGAGACAGCTTGGTCAAGGCGTCTTCTTAGGAGTTCACTTGCAGCGTCTACTTGCTAACGGACTTTGAGGAACAACGTTTTGTTTTCGGCGGTCAGTGTGGTGGGTTTTGCGGGTCATTCGGCAATGTTTTTTGCGCCCTTCCGCCCTTGCCTAGCCTGTATTTTAAAAACTAACTTTTATCGATTTTTTGCACTTACTGTACCCCGTCCCATATAACTGTACTGGTCTGACTAGACGTTATCGAAAGCAACGTTCGCTCGCCACCTTTTCTTCTGATCGATTTTTCTCTTCTCTCACTGCCTCGACCTCTCGGGGATGGTTGGCGAGTGTTTTATCCGTGTGCTTTGTGAGTCACCACTTCGTCGGAGGGAGGTGACTGAACCTCTGCCGGGTGGTCAGTCTGGTGGTTCTGCTTCCTCGCCGGGTAGACTCGCCGTCAGCCTGTCTATGTATGGCCTTCTTAAGCCCGGTGTGGTTGTTTGGTCCTAAGCTCTACGATTGTGATGACGTAGGCCTTTGCGGGGAGCAGGAAGGTCCAGATGCCAGTTAATGGAGTTGGTATTGGAATACCAGGCCTCGAGTGTTAACCGTTCTGCTTTTGCGTTGCCCGGCCTAAGATGGTAGCTCTTTTTCTTCAAACCACAGTTGGTATTCCGTTCAACATCCTGAAGGCCGCTGTACATGAGACAGTTTCGTCTCACCTGTGCAAGACATTTAATTGTCCTATTGAAGGTGAAACCCTTCCAAGTTTGTGGAAGACAGCACATATTCTGTCTCGCTCGAAACACGTAATCCACGTCGTATAATGACCTTTGGCCAATAAAACCCCCCTAGAATCGCTTCGAAAATCACGGTGATCCAGATGAGAGCGTCATTTAACAGGTAATAATGCTGCTCGAAATTTGACTCTCAAAGTTCACTCTTGCGACATCAGTCAGCTCTCCTTCCTTGAGTATTTTCAACTACTTTGGGAGGAATACTTCAGCCTTTGGTTAGTTTACTTCTTTCCCACTAATTTTTTTGATCCGACCAACCGCTCTTTTTTTCTCTTAGAGATTTCATCCTCCGTC